AAATGCCATATATGGTATAACTCCAGTGGATTACAAACCATATTTGGCAATTTATATGGTATGGGTGATTATCATGTGTATGGAAAATGCCATATATGGTATAACTCCAGTGGATTACAAACCATATTTCAATTTATATGGTATGGGTGATTATCATGTGTAGGAAAATGCCATATATGGTATAACTCCAGTGGATTACAAACCATATTTGGCAATTTATATGGTATGGGTGATTATCATGTGTATGGAAAATGATTAAATATGTTGTGGTATGCAGTCAATCTTGAAAACAGTGATTGAACATAAGTTCATTCTGTTTTGCTGGGAAGACAGGGCAGTGAAGATAAGTTGGCACTGATACAAGAAATTATCAATTTTTTTTTATAATGCATATATTTTATAATGTTTTAAATTCAAGTAAGGTCTTCTTTGTTTGTGGAAAATTTTACCATGATGCAATGTGTGAATTTTAGACGTTGAAAATGTCACACATGTTCATTTGGGGAATGTGGAATTGTGTTGAAGGTGCCTTGAATGAGAAGAAGGCAGTATTACCAGAAAGAGACCCGTGGATGGAGTAAAAACTATACTTCATCGTGGGGTTGTATTGGTGAGTAGATCAAATATATAAGTAATGACAATTACAATCACTGGGTTGCCATCAGCTATCCATGTGGAAACTGCTATTAAATGGGATCACATTGTTTGTGAGACGGTAGTGATATTGTGCAGGTTGCTGACTGTCGTACAGTGTATAATTGAATCATGGTTGCAGACTTGCTGTAAAGAGTGAGTTGCATTATTTGTGAAATGTGTTGCATTGTTATATCAGAGTGATATGGTTGCACAGAGGCTTGTCCAGAAAAAAAAAAGGGTAAATCTTCAGATTGATACTCTCCTCGTTGTTCTGACAGTGTGCAATAGGATCACATGGGTTGTAGATTCAATGTACCATGTAAAATAGGATCACACAGGTTGCAGACTCATTGTACTGTGTGAAATGGGATCACACAGGTTGCAGACTCATTGTACAGTGTGAAATGGAATCAAATGGGTTGCACTCATTGTACCATGTGAAATGAAATCACACAGGTTGCAGACTCATTGTACCATGTGAAATGGGATCACACAGGTTGCAGACTCATTGTACTGTGAAATGGGATCACACAGGTTGCAGACTCATTGTACAGTGTGAAATGGGATCAAATGGGTTGCAGACTCATTGTACAGTGTGAAATGAAATCACACAGGTTGCAGACTCATTGTACTGTGTG